AATTACTCCATTAAAGTCAGATTAAAATATCAGAGATCAGGCTATATTTTTCCACACTAATTGCTAAAAATTCTTTCTTTGCATGACATGGAGTTATGGGAGAACTCTAATAACAGTGGCAGAATTACAAATCAGGAAAATCCTAATTCAAATATCATCCACATATAAACCTAGGGGTACCTCAGTCATTTACTGCCATTCTACTTCAATTTGTCCATCTGCAATATAAGTCTTAAGAACACTGGTCTAAACTGTCCTAAAATATACATTAAGTGTTTGGTACAACCTGACATGATCAATAAATGATAAATATAAATGTAGCTTCTTCTCTGGTAATATCACACTACTAACTAGAGCATACAAAACATTTGCTAGACCTATACTTGAATACAGCTCATCAGTCTGGAACCCATATCTTGTATCTGATATTAACACAATTGAAAAAGTCCAGAAATATTTCACAAGAAGAGTTCTCCGCTCCTCTACTCATTGCAGAATACCTTATGCCACCAGACTTGAAACTCTAGACCTAGAAAGCCTAGAACTACGCCACCTCCGGTCTGATCTAAATATAGTATATAAAATCATACATTGCAATGTCTTGCCTGCAAATGAATAATTCAGCTTCAATCATAACAATACAAGAGCACACAATAGATACAAACTCAAGGTTAACCGCACCAAATTTGACTGCAGAAAATACAACTTCAGCAACAGAGGGGTCAATGTTTGGAATACTCTACCTGACTCTATAGTTTCTTCCCCAAACCCCAAAAACTTTAACCTTAGACTGTCTACTACTGACCTCACCCCCTTCCTAAGAGGCCTGTAGGGGGCGTGCATAAGCGCACCAATCATGCCTACCGTCGCTGTCCTGTTGTTTCTTTTTATTTTTCTAATAAGTATCTATCTCATGTATTCAAAACTATGTTTATTCTTATACCTGTATCTTGTAAGCGATTGACAAATCAAATAAATAAAATAAATCTGCTGTCATCGGGGCGGGGGTCGGAATTGGGGTGTGATTTTTTATTTTTTTCCAGATTTTGTTCTATTGTACTTTATTAATTTATTTCATTCTTTTTGTTAGTTTTTATTGCTTTTTAAAAATTTTAAATATGGTTTTACATTCTGTAAGCCGCCTCAACTCGCCTTCGCCTCATGGGCAAATAGGCGGCAATATAAATTCAATAAATAAATAAATAAATAAACAAATAAATAAATAATCAGACATTGAGCTGAAAGTAGATCTACAGAAACAATAAGCATTATCATTGGAAGAATGGAATGACTAGGTTGAGGGCAGATAATCCCGGAGAAAAATCTTTCAAGTGAAAGTTGAATGAAAAGCAGGGTCCTTTCTCTATAATTCTGCTTTAAATAGTTACATTTTAGTAAATTAATCTAGAAAGAATTCCACACTTTTTCTATTCAAATAGGTCTTGCCAGACCATTCCATTTCAGATGCCCATGAAAATATTTCTTCTACTTTGGGAAAAGTGACCTGGACTATGTGGTAGGATTCAACTTTGCAATTGCCTTTCGGGTGTCTCTAGATGCAACACCTTACATTGCCATGCTGCAGCAGAAGTTCCTTCTTGTGCTTCTGAAGTCTTAATTTCAAGTAACAGTTCTGAAACAAGTGGAAATGACCTGCTCAGATAGACA